GATGTCATCGAGTAGCTCGAGACAGACTTCGAATGCGGATCGAGGTGACTCAGATTTAGTCTGAGATTGTTTTGGAGGTCGAGGAAGTTAGAAGACGAGAGATTGGTTTTTTAGATGGTTTGGTTTAAAGTAGTGACAACAAGCTCAGTGATTTTGTTGGTTTTATGGATGGTTGCTTTTGATGAGATGAAACAATGATGGATGAGGAGATGAGGAGAAAGGTTAATGAAAGTAAGTTGAGAATTTTGTGTTTTGATTTTTGGCTATTTGGATTATTCATCTTTCTCTTTAAGATCGTAGTGAAAAATAAAAAAGTTTAAAGACAAAGTTTGAAATGTAATAAAGTAAAAGGTGTGCATGGTCTTATATAAAACTATGATTGTGAAGTGATAAAAATGTTTGGTAGGTTAGTTAGCAGAAACAAACTCAAAAAGACAAAAAAATCTGAAAAAAGAAAGAGTTTTTAATTCCTAAAAATCGTTGGATTGAGATTAAAAATAAATGGTAAATATGAGGCTAGCCGTCTTAGTTAAATACAAACAAAACGAATTTCAATATAGCGTTGATGCTAAAATAATTTATATAATACAAATTTAAATATGATACAAAATTTAAAATGAATTGCACCATTCTACATTTGCTAATAGGTTGTGATATTAGTTACCAAATTTTGGGTGTATGTTTATGATTTATAGAAAAAGATGGGTCTATGTCATTTTTCAAGTTATTTATAGATGTGAATATTAGTTAACAAATTATGAGTATAGATTCGTGATTTTTAAAAAATGTGGGAAATAATACCATTTATCCAAGTTATTAATAGGTTTGATATTCCTGCTTAAACATAAACTTAAAGGCTTATGAAATTATTAATTTTACGCATCAAATGATGTCCACCATGGTTACGAGGTTAGCAAATTCAAGTACTTCCATAAAGCAAGAGATTTCAATTCCATAAGCATATCAAAAATATATAATTTTTCATACATTCACAATCAAGGATCCCCTGTAGACTAAAGAAATTCCTAAAATTTGCTTACTTACTGCTCATCATTTACTTTCCCAAAAACTTGCTTACTTCTTGCTCATGTTTTACTTTTCATTCATTTGATTACTTTCATCATCCACGATCACCAAACACTAAAAAAAACGTTTAACAGGCAATTCAAATGTCAAAACATAGTGCCTCTTATTGAATTTGAAATTTATGAGGAATTGCTCATAAGTGAGAACAAAGAGATGATGAGCATAGATCTACGGTTTTGAAAGGACTTGCAAAAAAAAAGCAAGATGAAGCAATAAAAGGTTTACAAACATTATCAGCCCATGAGAAAACATACTCTATTTTTCAAAACCTTCTCACCAGGCGTTAATAAGATGGTAGATACCATGTTTAGAGATTGAGAGAGAAGTGAAATTGTCAACGAATCTTATATTCTACTAAATTAATTAAGCAACGTAAAACAACAAAAAAATGCCCACAAAACATTCATTAAAAATCAAGGTAAGCAATCATTAAAAACCAAAGTAGATTATTAGTTCTACTGCACCTTATGCAACTGATATGATAGAAAAACGACAACGGATACATGATCCAGATAGTGAATGATGTGTTTTGGAAAATCTATCAGGATTTTGGAGGATGGTGAAAGGGTACATGAACTTAATTTAGATGATATAAGGTTTTTTTATATGTTGAATGCAACCATCTACAAATATCAAGATAACTTTTGAGGGTTATGGCGATATCACATTGACAATCATGTCATAGGGCCCGAGAGGGTGTTAGCATGCAACAGTTTGCCTTCACCTTGTTTGATTGCATGCTTGAAGAGGGAGGTGGTACGAATTTGGTAAGAATTTGTTTTTCATTTTTCCCATATGTTATAGATTAAAGATTAATTTTGTTTCTCCTTATGTTTGTAGATGGCTGATCTTTTTAAATGCTTTTCTTAGTGCTTGGTGATCATGGATGGTGAAAGTAATGAGATGAAGAAAATGTTAAAAATGAGCAATACGTAAGCTAGAAGTTGGGCAAGTGAAGGATGGACAGTAAGTAAGCTAGGTTTTAGGGTTTCTTTGGTCTATAGGATTCATTATTGTCAATGTAATATCTTCATAAACTCATAATTCGAAGTTTTAGGAATTGACCATGGTATATATTGATATAGTAGTGATAAACTTTAAGAACCGTAAAAAACCAGCCTATAACAAGACCATATACTCACGAGCATCTCATTAATTTTGATTGCATCACCATCTCGATTGCTCTTGAATATTGGTTCATGAAAAAACACTCCGAACATAATTGTTAAAGGAACGACTAGAGCACACATAACCTCATATAAAGTTCCATATTCTTTCTTTAAAAGCCTAGAAAAATCTTACACATGATTAATACCATTAAACAAAAACGAAATCAAATCAATTTTAAGGTTGCGTCTTTTCAAGTAAATTATAATGGTTAGAAATTCATCCTAGAATTTCTAGTTATTTCAAAAAACTTGGTCTATGTGAAAATGCATCTTCTAAAAAAATGTATTCTAGTTATCATATTTCATATA